ACAAGAATTCAATATCTTTACAATATTTACCAAATTTACCTGTCACTATCAGCTTTATTTCTTTCCAAGCACTTCTTACTAGTTTCAAAAGCACAAATATTTGATATGGGCTTGGTGTTTTGTTTAATGCTTTACTTATACTAAACACATATTGGTACTCCATATTGAAGAAATCCCAATAGATCTTTAATATAGATTCGAGTAAATTAAGCTGAATATTGTTGGGTTTGAAAACGGCGAGTCTGTCGCTAAAAGACCAGAAATCTCGCGTAACGTCGGGAATAGGCTTTAGTAGAGGCGTGGATACGATTTGGCGAGTATCAAATTTTTTTAAGTGTTTGTGTATTTTAAAAGACGACTTTATTAACACTTGATCTTTGCCCTTACTAAAATTTCAGGCGCATGGAAGATAAGTACTTTATTAAATTTTCTTTTCTCTTTTATACATTTCGTTTTTCTACAACTAATTTTATTCTTTTCCTTTTTCTCTTAGATCTTTTCCCACCTCTTTCATTGATTCAACCATACGATTTGGAGTTTCACTGAATTTGGGTAAATTATTTCTCTACTTTTCTATTTTTACCCATTCTATTTTTACTAACCCGCCTTTTCTTTCTTTAACACAAACCCACCCAGATCCGCCATTTTGAAACTTCTCTCGATTCGGTAATGCGCCCGTCTATGAATCATGCGATTGTATGGGGCCCAAATATGCGGGTTTCACCCAATTTTGGGTTGATCGTGAATGCCAAAATCCGGGGGCATCGTCATTGTATGCACGATCATTGATTGTGCATCGATCCAGGTCCCGATCATCGTTTGAGTCACGTTTTGTGTGGTCTCGATTTATACTGCCCGTGACACTATTCACATAATATTACTAAACTAAATTCACATAGTATAAGTAGTTACAATAATAATTTTCTACTTAAATCTTTATAGTTCATCCTTGACAATAAAAATATTTTAATACTTCATTCTTTTTTTGTTAAAAAGCTTTTAAAATTAGAATAAAGTTGTTAAGAATATTTATATTACATAAAAATACCTTTGTTAATTAGCAAAATATTAAGATTTATTGTACAGAAATGTTATAAAAGATGAAACAAAAGACAGTTTTTGTAGGCAAGATTCTTTTTAATTTTACTTCTTATCTTGCTATAAACTTACTCATCACATAATATTTAACTTTCTAAGTACACATTATATTCAGTGAGTATAGTTTTCTTTTAGAAACCCCTAAAACGATGATTAGAAATGGCTAAACATTGCAATTTACTATGAAAATTGAAATCCTTATATATGTGTCAATCACTCAAATTTCATAGTAAATATTTTATTCACCTGATCTGCATGATATCTTGATCAACTGATATGATACAGATTTTAATAGGCATTTTGATTGTTTTCTAATTTTGAGCAAATATATCTCAACAACCACATAGTTAAATTCAATGAAATTTTTTTTATTTAATTTCTATGAATCTATAGAATTCAAACTGAAAAGGTTTTGACAGATTAAAGCAGATAACTGTCAAGATATTTTCACTCAAAGTTTTTAAAAATTTTTATTTTTTACTGGGATCTGCATGTTGATCAGCATCAAAAAAGTAGGTGCAGGAGTATCAAAAACGAATGTTTTGCCCCAGTAATCATCACATCATGTGAAAACATGAAATGACGTCATTTGCTTACAAATTGGCCTAAACTATACTATCACCTAACCCAAACACTAACCCTAACTTAGGCCGAGTGTTTAATATAGATGCAGACTTATGACATCACCTAGTTACGTCCTATATAAATAATCGGTTTATAAAATAAACCACAATTGAGCCGTAACTAGTAACGTCAATAAGTCTGCATCTATAGTGTTTAATCGTGTGATGTAATGATCACGAAGATATCACTGGATTCACTGTTCTTGAAACTACTGTCACCGAGTTTACCAACACTCCGTGAACTTCTTGATCTTTGCTAACAGTCTTTACTCGCTTGGCTAATTTATATGATGACTGGAGTATCGTACCAGATACTACCACTGATAATGTATTCACACAAATAACAGTTTATTCGTTAAGAACCAAAGTTTATTCACTAAGAATAATTCAAAGAGATATAGCGAGAACAAAAGTTCTATCTCTGGTATCTCCCCCTTTGGATAAATACCTTATTTATTTATTACTAATATACATTTGCGTCACTAAGTTTTACAAACTTTCTTATCGTTCACGCATCAATATTTTAGACTTAAATTAAGTCGTGATCACCCGATTCATATATTATGCATTAATTAGATCACCGACATTCGATCAACACGTACTGATCACTAGTCACATGGTATCGCGCAGCACCGCGGCAACTACCCAAACATCATTTAAAACATCAAGCTCCTTGTTATCATCATTCGGGTCCATTATATCTATAATTGTTCTAAGACCGATTACTTTTAAGACCATTTATATTTGTTTCGCTTATATATATCCTCATTTTCGTACAGGGTTGGAGTTTAAATTGGCATTAACGTCTATAACTGTGTCCTCGCTCTCCCATTCAACCAATACACTATATAACTAACTATATAACTAATAATAATCAAAAATGAAATTTTTAAAATGGGCGTTTCTGCCATTGAAGTACATCTAGATTATCATGGCAATAATGTAACGTGACGCAAAATTAGGCGTGTGCTAGCTGCATGTTAATGTTGAAAATGGAAAAGATTTAAGTGGATTCTAAATTCTTTAAAAGTTTCGAATTTCACTTAAATCTCATCCACTTCAATATTAATCTATATGTATCGCATCTTTGAGACTTGTGGTTTAAAATTTCCAAAACCATGGTCTATAAACACTGCGCCACTTTCTTCATCCTTGTTCTCAGCCTTGGCCTCATTCTCTACTTATCTTACTACCTTTTGTACCACTTTCAACTCTTAGAATCGACAGTCCCATTATTAGATACCTATACCAAACCCCCTCCGAGCGTGGACCAGAACTTACCAATCTTTATCGGGATACTGACCATTCATGAGAAGATCGAGATTAGGGAATGCTTGCGCAAGCTGTATGTACACAATAACGAAGCTCTGACGAGGTATCTCGGAGTCAAGAAATCGCCTGTGACAATTAGGTTTATCCTGGGACTGCCGAGGGATGAATATAAGGATAAGCTAGAGGAAGAGTCTAAAATGTACGGGGATATTGTTATTTTGAATATCACAGAGAACATGAATCAAGGAAAGACGTTTGAATATTTCAAATGGTTTGCTAAGCATGTGAGTATCTTTGTCTTGTTATGAGACGGCACATGTCCATAAGCATTCATTATTTTGAGTACACTTAGAGGGAGGATAATTATATGGTCAAATCGGATGATGACACTTTCATCCACCTTATTCACTACTACCGTGACCTTCAAGACTTACCGAGAGAACGCGCATACTATGGCAATGCTTTAGGGTATGAACATGAAACATACACATTTATGGGAGGTATGTTTTTTATTCCCTTAACGCTTCATGCATTTTTTGATCTATTTTATTTACATTCGAAAAGGTGCGGGATACACACTCTCCCGCGACCTCGTTATAGACATTGCTGGATCCGACTGGGCCGGTTCACATGTCGTAGGTAATGAGGACTGGCTAGTAGGTGAGTGGGTATGTCATGTGGCTAGGGAGAAGAAGTACTTCGTGCACTATGTCGGCTTTACAAGTTGGGTACCCATCCGCCAAAATCCCATCCATGACTTTGACGAAAATCTAGACCTCCACTTTTTTGGAGAGACTATCATGATCCATAAAATAAAGGGCATCGATAAGTTGAATGCCATTAAGGATGTATACTCCAAATACGAAGAGGGATTGCCAATGGTCAAAGTTATCTGGAATTCAACGGCCACAGGATTAGCTACAAAGAGGGAGATTGTTCCAGGATGCTGGACTGTGCTTGAGAAAGAACAGATCTGGGATCAATTGCAAAGTACCTATAAGAACTGGTTCTATGAAGCTTGGGGTTTTAAGGAGGGGATGTGGTATGAGTATTATGGGACTGTGGATAATATCGGAATTGGATAGAAACTTTTTTATTACAGTCAGACCTTTTAAAGTGGACACACCATATATGCAAGCTCTATGAAAATTCTTAAAATACATGGCATAATTTACCCAGCTTCACTCTATAAATGCACACCTTATTAAGTGTATATTTGCGGTTTTGTTTTTTTTTTTTTTGTTTTACTATGTTCCCAAGGCGGATATACTTAGAGAGGTTTGACCGTGCATATTTTATTACATAATTTATTAAATTCAAAAATGTTACTAGATTTTTTTGCTAAAACGCATCAATTAATCAGTGTAAGTCTAATTAAAAATGTTCTACGCTCTAAAAAACCCTACAATGCCCTAACCTTAACTCTAATTACAAACCTTAATGCAAAAAGTTTGTGTTAAAATTTTTATATAAACTTAGAAAAATATAATAAATATAATAAAAAAATATAATAGGTGTAAAACACTGTTTTTAACAAGTCATGCGTTTGTGATGTGTCGGGAGTTCCTTTTAGCTCTAAATTCTGTGGTCTGCGTAATTCGCATGATTTTATGATGGACAGATCATAATTTTAGGTACTTTGCACACATATATATATATATATATATATATGATTTAAATGATGGATCTGAAAACCTGTAAATTATTTCACTCATTATCATTGCAATGATATGTACTCTTAATTTTTATAGGGTAGACATCACTGCGGTGATAATTAGTGAAATGATTTACAGGTTTTCATATCTTGTTATTCATTTATATAATTTAGATTATGTTGATTAGAATAATAGATTAAAAAGTATAGGTATTTACGTGTAAAGTTAATTTTATTACATATTTATTGTTCTTTTTCTATGTACTTTGTTTAGTCTCGTGTATTCATTTATAACTAATATATTTGTTTTTATAAAATTGAAGTTGAAGTTTAGAATACGTATTAATGGATTTCTATGTAGGTGCTCTTCCCATTGCAATGTAAACTTGTCCTTCTGCAAATATTTTATCATCTACATTAAGTGTTGTACGTAGTAATGTTAGCTCTTGGGTTTTGTGAATTGTAAAGGCAAATGTGTTCTGAAGAGAAAATTGGTATTTAGATGCTGGGTTTTCATTAGTGCTCGGCACAATCAAACAAAAATTTGACAGTTAAATACTTGTTAATGCTTGTGATTAAGTCGGACATCAATGTTTGCAGATTAACCAATAGTATATACTTAGCTTTGGTTAAACTGCAATCGTTTGACATCCGATTTAAACATAAGTATTAACAAGTATTTGACTGTCAAATTTTTGTTTGATTGTGCCAAGCACTA